ATGGTCGTCGATGATGGGGATGTTCAATACCTAATTGTTCTCGATCATTTTTCTGCCATTCTAATATAGTACATAATTCACGAAATGATTGATGATTACCTTGACGTAGCATATCTATGGATAATTGACGTTGTAATGAATTTCGATATCTATTCGAAAAAAAAATTCCATATATGAAATATAGTATTTTTATTTTTTACTTTTCTGTATCTATTTTTTGAAGTGATGGTTGTTTTTCATAAACTTTAGCAGCATTTTTTAATTGTTTTAACGAAAGCTAAATTATTGATAAGTATTAAAATAATGAGAAGAAATATTCTACAGACTTGATATTTTTCTTGATTAATTTTACTTGGTAAAATAACAGAATGAGAAAATATTGATTGACTTTTAATAGTAGTTTCATTTGTTAATTTTTTACGATGAATAGATGTTTCAGCTAGAATAAGTTCATATTATAATTTAATATTTTATTTAGTATAAATATAGAAGATCGTTTTGATATGATGTAATCACTATTGAAGATGAAATCGATTGAGTTTTATTCATCGAAAATGTGAATTCACTTATGAATTAAGAATACTCTTTGATTTACTTTTAATTGAGATTGAAACAGAATACTAAGGAATGTTAACTTCTTTTAAAAGTAAACAGAAAATAAGATTAATCGACTAACTCATGCCAGCAGAAAGAATCAACCGGCTTTTTACTTTTTGAATATGTGTACTTCCTATTTTCAATGAAATTTTTTTTAGCGATTATTTGAATTTGGCTACTAACACATTGATTATATTTAAGAAACAATCTTGATGATGATCTTATAATAATCAAGTTATAATTGGTTGTTACTTTTTAGTATAGGATTCGTTGGATTGGAGTTGAATAAAGTCCGAATTATGCTAAATGATTAATCACTTTAGATCTTATATTTTGGATATATAGAAATACGTTTTAGACTAGAGTAATCCTAAATGGATTTAGATCCATAGACCATCATTACAAAGTTACAAGAGTTTTGTTCGATTTTTTTACAATAGAAGAATGTATTAGATTAAATTTTAAAGTAGCCAAAACTAATTAAAAACTTCTAGTAACTCTGTAAAAAAAAAGGTCTATAAGTCCGAATTCTTTTGACGTTAGTGTAGTCTGCAAGGTCTCACTGTATTTCCAAAATATGAACTAAAAAGTGATGAGAATTGTTTGAGATCTATTCCCTAGAAGATATCTTCAAATAAACTACGTAGATAAATCTGTATATGTTGTTCCAAAGTTCAACAATACAATTAGATCTTCTAAATGATCATTTTTATCGCTTTGTTTTGATGTGTGTAAAACAATTGACTCAAGTTAATGGTAACTTTGTTCCCTATCATGATTCAATCAGATGATTTCCTTACTTAGAATATGCATGTGAGTATGTTTGTCGGTGTGACAGATTGAATAGATGAATTAAAGCATCATATGGACATGCACACTCACATCCATTTCTATACAGTTGAACTTTTATTTACACATTCTTGACATGTACAGGGCCTCAATATGTGTTTATATCTCATTTTTGAACAAGATTATGTGAATTTAAAAGAGATAATTTCCATTTATTGTTTTACTTACCCATTTAACAGAAGTAATATTCACGTATCCAACAACTTATGTCATTGTTATAGTTACTTCAGTTATCTCTTTCTTTTTTATCATTACTCAAAAAAAAACTCTTATCAAGTCATACTCTGGCGACATCTATTCTGTAGATAAAACAACTACTTTTGTTTGTTTACTTAAATGCTTCATTTTAACTTAGAAAAAATCTGTTTTTAAGTAAATGAATACTAAATAAGCAAATATCGATTGAATATATTTAATAACCAATAGAATCTGTCCAAATCTTCATCTAACGACCCGTCATCATCGTCACTTCATTCAACAGCTGTTGCTATAGACTAGTTTAGGAATACAGATGATTAAATTTTTGTCTTTAATAAGTCTTATTCTTATTCTTAACATTCCATCAATTGAAAATGTTGATCGACAAAATTTCAAAACATGCGAACAAAGTTCATTTTGTCGGTTAGTTTTGTGTTTTTATTTTTATTGTCAAAATTAGACTAATAATAATAATTAATTTGCTTTATTAGACGTCAACGTAAATATAAACCCGATACAACACCATATGAAGTTGATCTAAGTTCAATGAAAATAATTGACAAAGGACATATACAATTTGTTTTACTTAATACATTAAAATCTGAAGTTAAATTTCAATTAGATTTATATACACTTGAACATAATTCATTACGTGTTAAAATTAATGAAATAAATCCATTAAGAAAACGTTATGAAGTTGAACATGTTCTTGTTGGTGAACCAAAACTTGTTGAGTAAGATAAATCAAAATAATAATAAAATAGAAAATAATTGATAATATTTCAATTTTTCTTTTATTAGTGTTACTATTAAAAAAACAGATAATAATCAAATTGAAGGACGATTTGGTGAAACAGCTAAATTTATACTTAATTCAAAACCATTTCGTTTAGATTTATTTACAAATGATATATTTGTTATAAGTGTTAATTCAAAAAATATGTTTAATTTTGAGCATTATCGAAAAAAACCAGGGTATGAAGATTATATTTTTATTTTCTTAGGAAAAGATTTTATTTTATTACTTATTTAGATCTGATGAAGCTGCAGCTGAGAATAACGTAAGTTTTCAAATATTTTATTTGTCCTATTTGTTTTTTTTTTTGTCTTGTTTTATTGAAGAAAACAAAAACAAGACACTTGATTAGTTCATTGTATTTTTCTTCCCATTACTCATCATAGTCTACTCAATGGAAACATTTATTCATAGGATTTTTTTCTTCTTCTTTATTTGTACTGAGATCAAAGTTAAGACACTATTTTTCTATGAAAAAAAAACAAAACATCATGGATAAATTAAAGATTAGTTATTCTTAGTTTAAATTTGTATAATATTAACCTTCGTCTTCGAATAAGGTTTTCTATTGTTTAAAAATGATTGTATACCATTCTGAAAATCATGCCTAAGTAAATAAATCATGTTTACGAAAAAAATTTTTTTTCTACTAATGACATCTACGGAAGACTTTGACCTCGTGTTATAACTAGAGGGAGCTTATAAAGAAACGTTAATTGTTTTTCGATTGAGACTATAGCTTTTCAATTAATTATTTAGTCTCTTAGCGATTTTATGCTTATGGGACAAAAAATTCGAGTAAAACGCGCATCACTCGTCATGCCAAAATCAATTAAAAAGTTTGACATGTTCTGTCGTCAGCCATGTCCCTAGAAGGCATTCAGCCTCCTCTAGAAACATTATCAGAGAGTCTTTGCTCCCTCTACCAACATGATTAGGGAGCTGAACAGCTTTACAACTTTTTCTGAACAGTATATCGGCTTGTCCACGTAACGCGCGACACTTCGCTGATCAAGTTTCGAAAAAATTTTTTTTTCGAGTTTGACAAATCTGAATGAATTACTAGATGCAGTTTTTAACGCTGATTACGAATTTGACATTTATTTTGTAAAAAAAAGTTAGGTTTTAGAATCGAAAACCGGGTTTTAAACTTGTGAAAAATCATATTTTGAATTTTGTAACCAAAAAAATATTGAGAGACATACCATTCGATGCAGAATTTAATTCTCTACAAAA